GCTGAACCTGCTTGCCACAGTGATTTGACCCCAGAGAAGCGGTTGATAATGGATGCATGGATGGTTGAATGGATGGACACAGTGTTTATAAATGAGTGTTCTCATGGGCTTTTGGTTAGGATGAACACCAGTGCACAATGCTGCTGGTTCATTTCTGGCTGGGGACTTTTGTTGCATGGCATTTCCACTCTCTCTCATTTTATTGCTTTTAATGATGTTTATGCTTTTCCTTGCCTCTGTAAAGCACCTTGAATTGCCTCTGTGTATGAAATATGCTATATAAAGGAAGTTGCCTTGCCTATATTGTCATTTCACTGTACAAATGTCTCCACGGTCAAATAAAAGGCAAAGATTTAAAGAAAGAAAAACAAAATTTGAACAAGTACATTTTCCTTGACAACTGAACAAACTCCATCTGCCCAGAGTGATAATGTTATATGATTGAAAAACACCTAGGAATTGTTGATGTGAGATCATTTTGTCAACTGCTGATTCCAAGGTCAAGAATGACCTTTGAACATGAGCTACAAATCGGTATATCCTGTTAACAATGTAAAACAAACTTGTGTGTAATGTGAAAGATGTTCTTGTGAGGAAACCTCTCATGTCTTTAGAGCTTCTACATCTAGTTTGGACAGCTGTTTGGGTTTTCCAGCTTGCAAGCACTGCTCTCATCAACCACATTATTTTTAGCAAAAACTGTTTAGTTTTTTTTTTTAAATACGCTCTGAAGAAGTCACTGTATACTACCTGTTCATCACCAGACAGTTGAACATAACAGCATTTAGCAGCCGTGGGTCTGTAAATAGGCAAGTGTTTGTCAAAGCATCTTTAAGTGTTGAGGTTTAATAGTTTGAATATTGTTCTTTTTTCATGTCACAAAACCAGACTTGTTAACTACGACTGAGCTTTCTGATGCAGTTTGCTGTGGCTTGTGCTTTTCTCCCAGCTGCATCCATAGATCCTATTCTTTATTGGTTTTAGAAGTGAGAAATATATAAATGCAGTGTTCATTTGAAACAGCAAATATCCTAATTTAATTTCTGATCAAGCCTCTGAAGATATGACTGGTGCTTCCTGGCAAATTTCCCTCTTTCCATCTGTTTGTGTATTCTCTCTCTCTTTCTGTCTTTGACTCTCCTATTGGCTAGCTCTCAACCATTCACTGTGGGGAGCACTGGACTTCCTGGTTTATTTCCTCACCTTCTGTGGTTTGATTACATTGAGTGTGGAAGTAGATAGAGGTTTGGAGGGGAGAGGAAAACAGGGAGAGATTGGAAAAGAGAAGAAACAGAGGAAGTGGGGAAGCAGGGGACAGTACATCACTTAGAGGCTTATCTGGGTTTTTTGCTGAGATACATGGAGAGGTGTGGGAAATTAAGGTCATCAAGAAGACAGTAAAAGAGCAATATAAATCATTTTATTGCCAGGGCTGATTGATATTCACTGGCTCATGACATCACAGCAGAAAGCTGAGGAAAGTGAATCATAGAATTTTATTTGAAAGCTGAAAGAAAAGTAATATCCTTGATATTGCCACTCCATATGAAACCATCAGTCTAGTTTCTACCTCTAGTACCCTCTGTGTCATGAGCTAGTACACCAAAGCAGATACTGTCACAGCAGAGCTACAGCAGGTCACAGTGACCAAGGCTTTGATTTTAAAACTACAGTGGCCCAAATACACAAAATACAAACAAATGAAGAAAACACCTTCTTCACCTTCCTGGTCACCATTTGGAAAAAAAAAATAATACCACAAAGTAAGAAAATACAAACTAATGTTTGCAGAAATACTACAAATGACACATCAGAAGCTTCCAGGGGAATTAAAATTTATAGCAGCTACTTTCCCTTGAGCTCTGTGCAAGCTGTAGTGTTTCTCTGTTTAGCCTTGTTTTCTCTACCTGGTTGTGTTCTCTGTGTGCAGCATGTCTCTGTGTTTATCTGGCAGCATTCTTTCTGTTGGCTGCATTTTTTTCTCTAAACGCTGCATGTTGTCAATGATGAAGAGATTTTTTTTCATTTCCTTTCATCTGTTTGTATCATTTCTTAAGTAGCTGAGCTGTCATCAACTGTATGAGACACCATTCTTGATCATTGTAATTAATTAGAGTCTGACCCATTCTTGATTTTTGAGGCTGATGACTGATATTTGAGAGTTAAAAAGAATAATGACATCAGTGGGAAACAAAGTATGTCACCATTTCTGATTTAGCTCAGAGATTGGCCTTCTTCAGCAGGTAGAAATGGTTCCATTGTCATGGAAATAGCTCAGGTGTAATTGCATGAACTTTAGTCACGTAACAATAGGTGGCGTACTGTACTGTATACGGGGCCGATGGTAACCCCTGTCTCTGTTGTGAGATGTGAACATCCTCCTTGAGCTTTCTCTGACCCTCCACCGACTCCTGGTGGATGACCTTTGACCTTTTCCCAGTTGTTGCACATCAGCCACCTGTTATCACGTGATCTAAGTTCCATACTTAGGTTGTGCAGTTTACACCAATGTTTTTTTTTTTCTTTAATTTAATTAAATTTTGTTTTGTTTTGTTAAGCAGAACTTCACAGCCAACCACAGGTCCACATAGGACAGGTGGCTCTCCTGAGTCCCAGCTGGTTAAACCTCTGTACAGGCTCCTCTGGTTCTCTGTGCTCGGCTGCACTGCATTTTACTGCAGACTAACTCACTGTTTACTCTAATTGTTCTCATTGACACATTTGTCTCTTTCTGTTGTCAGACAAGTAAATGGGCATGGTAGGATGCAAATGCTACATGTTAAAAGGGAGAATCCCTGAGCTGCTTTACCTAAATCAGTCTTTTCAGAAGTCAAAGCCTCTGTGCCCACCTGTCAAAAGTATAGGATTGTTCATCAAGCCTTAGACACAGACAGGAATGATAGAGTGTGTGCTTGTCATCATCATTTTTATCAAGACACCTTCAATGGAAGAAGCTCCTGATGCTCGACTTGCTCTCTCCTGTTCTTCCAGTCTCAAACAGTAGGCGGAGCTTAGCTTCACTCGTGGATGAGTATGAGGTCAACCCCCTTTAACATGTGGTCCACTTACAATATGATATCATCCAAGTGTTAGCCCACTGGCGTTTCCAAGTACTTCTATGTGAGATGTGCAAAAAATGTACATATTTTTCAGTATCTCTCTTGAATTTGTATTTTTTTTCATTATCGAAGATGTTTGATTTAAACCATTACAGACAGAACTAATGACATACTGTATATATAGAGCACCACACACTTTTATATTAATCATTTTGAGATGGCTGATTACAAATAGATAAAAGTAGAGTCAGATTTCTCGGGTGCTACCATTACAGTCTATTTCTACTATTGCTGAAGTTACAACAGCAAATAAGGCTCCCAGTCATAAATACATGAGGAGCAGGTGTCATTCCTACTACCTTCTGCTGTTTTCGCGTATTTACCACAACTGCTTTTATATCTGGTACCTTTAAGGTGTGTGTGTGTGTATAAATGATAGATTTTGCTTGTTTTCAACCATGGCTCCTATGCCTCACACTAACAGTTTCAAATTCATTTTTCTTTGTGTTTTCTATGCTAATATACTGAAGACTGGAGAGACTGACTATATGTGGAAATGTAAATGTAGATGATTTTAGTGTGGAAAAGTTGGCTTCTTTAAGACCTGCCTGTCCAGCATCTTTGTACTTTATGGACAACAGATAAACCTATTGAAATATTCACGCAGCGTATCTACAATGTAGTAAAACGGTTGATGGAATGAGTGAAGAGAAAGTAGACAGTGTCTGTACCATATGTGTGAGTAGCACAGATGAGAGAAGGGAGAGATGAGATGAGCGAAGGGGGCTAAGTATACGGTACAGAGAGAGGGGGTATCAGAATGGGAGGGTGATGTCATCGGGAATGATGTCACCCATGTCTGATAGCCACGGAGCTGGAGTGGAACGATTTTGGTCTTTGTGTCCGTGTGTGTGGCTGTGAGTGTGCATCTGTGACTGTGTGAGCGTCTGTTTGTATGCTCTTTGTTCACTCATACATTCGCACACATTCTAGCACACACAGATGAATGTGTGTGTAGGAAGGAAGACTAGTGGGATTAGTGGATTCATGCCCTCTTTGTACGATGACATCATCAGTAGACCCCAGTAACACACACACCGGTGGACCCCTGCTCTGATCCACTCGTTCAGAGCTCAATTAACCACATCTGCTCTCTACTAAGGCAGGAATGAGGTCATACTAATACACACACACACTTACATAGAGATTTCTCTCATGGTTATTGGATGTCTCTGTCGTGTTGTGCACAGACAGTCTTTTGGGTAAAGCTACAAAGACGGTATTTTGTGATGACATTTATTAGCTTTGAAACGTACAATTTCAGGATTCAGTTATCAAATATTTCCTGTTACTGTAACAACTGGGCCTGAACCTTGTCTCCACACTGTACAACTCCCATCTGCATCCTGTTTCTCTATTAATTAAATTGTCTCTTTGTTGGTCTGTCTATCTAGCCTGGTTACATGGAGACCCCAGAAAGGTGCTCTATCCAACAGACAGCCATGGCCAGTTCTGTGGTCAGGAGGGAACCTCTAATGCGTAAGTCACTGTGATTACATTTGACTCACTGTTTCCCCCCTACCAGAATGTTGGTCTGGGGTTGTAGATTAGCAGAGCCCATGGCTTGGAGGAGGTCATAAAACATTAAATGCCACTGAACCAGACTCATACAACAGTTTTCTGTAGACTCACTCGCAGTAACTGTGATATTTGGGTCAACAGACTAACAGGTTAGTTACAGCAATGGAAAATAGTTTACTTTGTATATTGACCAGCTGTGGCCAGTGAGGATATTTGTCCCATCACAGATGGTCCACAGGTATTGGCTGATCTGTTATAGGTGGACAATATGCACAAGCAGTAGCAGAACTAATGCTAGCAGGTTGTTTTAAACAAGAAAACCATGTAATGTCATCATGAAGGACAGATATACACTGACAAATTGTTTCACAGAAATCATTTCATGCTTGTTTACACTTTGTTTATAAGCATGTTACAGCCCATAAGGGGCTTAAGCCTCTAGATAAATCTAGAAATAATCAAAGTACAGGAAATTGAAAATGTTATCAAATCAGCTGAGTAGTCATCAAGTTTGCCTCAGGAAGTTTTAGAAAAAAATTCTGTGCCACATCTGGGGGACTGCTATAACTTCAAGTCTAAAAATGACACGAGTGATTGCTCCTTCATACGTACTGTTAATGTACTTTATCTCATAATCTAAAAGTGTATTTTAGCATCATCATACAACAATTTATCCCAATCCCTGACTCCTGAAACAGATACATTAGCATCAGTCATGCATACTGTATGCTGTAGATGGAATGCCATGGCTACATAGTAAGGAGCACAATTCAGAGGATTTATTTACATTGGTCTGCTTTTAAGGCATTGGAATGGGTTTCCTTAAATATTATTCACAATGTTGAATACAAAAAGCAGGATTACTCTTCTTAGTTATTATGTTGGGTCTTTCAGTGGGCCTGAGGGCCAGACTTAACCTGCACCCCCTCCTTAAATAATGTGTGGGATTATTAAATAATCAGTCAATTGACCAGCACAATGTACATATTAGTTATAAAGTGGGGCACGTTTTGTGAAATCTGAAGTTACATATATAACTCCATATAACTTCAGTTTATCTGCCTCTCTGTGGATAAAACATGCCCTGGCTACAATTCTACAATATTGTCCAATGGATTATGGGATACCAAAGGCTGATGCTCTGGTTCTGTCCTCCAAATAACAGAAAAGGCAGACTTCAGAAGATCAAGTCCCTGGTACATATTTCCAACCCCCCTCTGAGTGAAAATCTGAATTATAGCAGAACAACCATCTGGCAGTTGTACTGTAATATTACTACTTCTCTTCTCTTGTCAACAGTTATCTCTTGAATTAGTTTGATGCTCAGTATGGTCCCTTATTTGATTCTCCACGTGACAAGTCCAAATGAAACTTCTCCTCATGAAACTGGTGCAACCACAGTGATAAATGAAATTGTCTTGTTGCCAGGCCACGAGAATTATAACTGTGTGTGTGTGTGTGTGTGATGTGTTGCTGTTACTGAGGAAGTAGAGCGGGTCCTAACTGGAAGATTATTGGTTCGATTCCCGGCTTGTCCAGTCCACATGTCGAACTGAACCCCACATTGCTCCCAGTGATGTCACCGGTGTGTGAATGTGTGAATGACCAAATAGTGTGAAAGCACTTTGAGTATGATTCGATGCACAGAAAAGCACTGTACAAGTATAAGACCATTTACCAAGACCATAACTGAGAAATACAGGCAAAGAGCCCTAAAAACAAAAGAAGCTACATTGACAGGGTGTTTCTCTTGCTTGCTTTTACCACCTACTGGTGACTCCTGGATACTACATATTCATATCATATATATATACAGTATATACAGTACTGGGGACATGAGAGGAGCCCACTGATATTAAAAGGCCAAGAGACATTTTGTAAAAACAAAGTCTTGGTAGCTGCAGGTTATAATAATGCATTGTCTGCTGGTGATCTATTTGTCTATTTTTGAATGGCTTTTGATAACTGTCCTCATGAAGAAGGGGCATTGCGTGTGACGCATGTAGCACGTCTGTGTTTGAGATCATTCCAGTTTGGCTACAGCCTAGTGCAACAGCAGGTCAGTTTTCATATTACATGCATCTGCAGTTTTTCCCCTGTAGATATTCCACTATGGTCACATTTTCTTTTGTTTAAATACAGTGGAAAGAGGAAAAGAAATCAAATACAATACCAAATTCAGTATGTTGTACCTGCTTATTCCAACACTTCAGTGAAGATATACACTTTCTATACTTAAATATTTATACCCAAGATTCAAAGGGCTGGTGGCTGCATTATTCCCTCAAACTGGAATAATGTTGCATTCAGCTTGCACTTTTTTCAACTTTAGGGTCTCAAATATAAATTATAATACAACTCTGTTCATCTGAATAATGGATGGCAACAAAAACCAGTTATGAGAGGTTGCACCAGCACCTATTCAAGTAAACAGTACGACAGGGACCACAAACATGTCTAGAGTTTTACAAAACAGCCAGTCGGCCGGCTATGTTTGTTTGTGCTTCTACCCTGCATGCTTTCATATAAAGAAACTGCCTTTTCTGCTCAGGGTGTTGGGGCATGTAGGAAATTACCAGCTGAAAAGGAAGCAGATGCTGCAGAACAGAGCAAACTCAAATACAGTATTTAACTCCAAATACAGTGACTCTGATTGTTGAACACCACAGACTGATGATGCACTGTATGTATGTGATTTAACACTTTTGCAGGAAGAAACCCATCCTATTCCATTTCAACATCTTAAAATGTACCAGTCCGGCTATACTCATCAACCTACAGTGCCCCACAACTCAGGTACCCTACTAACAAAGAATGATGCATATCTGCTGCAACAACACAGCATCCGTTTATCATGGCTATACAGTGTCTGATATGTCAGTTCAACCAAAAGAGGATTCAGTTGTGACAGAGAGCACTAAGCTATTCTTCATGTCACACACTGTAGAAGAACAAAGACAACTTACACTGACAAAAGGTCACACATATTCTCTAGTTCTCATTAACCTGGACAAGGTTACAGTTGTCAGTAAACAAGTACTTCTTACTGAAAGCAGCTTAATGTTCACTGGCTGCCTGCAAGGTTACACTGGCATGGATAAAGAGAACAATATGCCCACAACAGCAGTAGATATTTTCCCCAAATTAATTAACAAATGAACAAATGTACATTATGTGTTGCTTTTCTTCCAGATGTGTGTGTCACAGTGCCCAGACAGGTTTACCACCTACACTGAGATGCAGCTGCAACACAAACTCAGCAAAAGTCACTGGGAATATTATAGACAGTTCTGTAAGCCTGGCTTTAATAACCCTGACAAGGTACTGGCACTGATACCTGTACATGACACACATTTATCATTGAGAAACATGTACACACTGTACAGACATTACTCACTTTATGTGCATTGATAACCTGTGAAAAACTCTTTTGAAAAACATTAATGTGCACCACAGAGGATATTAACACAATATTATAAAAGTTGAAGGGAATTCTCTGTAAAAGGTTTTGATAGACAGGATGTCAAAATAGAGTGTGCACTGTAGTGACTCTGCTGTAAATCTCAACCCCCCCCCCCTTTTAAAGTTCAGTAAAAAGAAAACAATTTACCTCATTTTATGTTTTTGTCTTTGTGCAGGCCATATATTTCACAAAGACCAAAGTACCAGAATATACAAACATATGATTTATATATATATTATATTGTCATTTATTATTATTTTTCTACCCTATTTCTCCTTTTTTCCAGCCAGTATCCCAGGTTCTACAAGACGAGGACTGTCCCTCCATGATTGTACCTAGTAGACCATGTAAGGATTAGACACCTCTCTCCCAGAGCCTACTACATTCTCTTAACCACTGTAGATGTTTTTGCAAACCAAAACTATTATTCATTTGCTTTTCATATAAAGGAAGAGCAAGTGTCACTATAAGGGATCTATCTTGCAACAAATGCAATGCGTGTGCCGTGGGCAGCGCATCTGTTTTCTGATTTCCTTCCTCCACAATTACCTTTTTCATGAACATGACATGAACATCACGTCGCCTTCTTACCAGGCAGCCGTCTGTCAACTTCACACCAGCAGGTGTGTCTGGATGACGGGGTGTGTCCAGGTAAATTTTGGGCATGTTGGTAATATGAGGGCATACAAAGTGACCACGCCACTGACCAGCAAAAACCAGGTCTGTGATCAAGAGTCAAATCATCATTGCTAGTTAATGACCATGTTGTGATGTGCACCTGTCTGTGCATGCACAGTGCTTGTGCACTGTGTCTGTAATACCCTGGGACGTGTAAAACTTAAAAAAATAAAAAGATGACATTGTGTTCATTGGGTGTTGTGCACATCAATATACTATATGTATTTAACCATTTAACCATCACACGCCTCTTAAAGGGGATGTGAGGTTACACACAATTGGATAATTGCATGTTATGCCCAAAACACACCACTGCTTTAATGAGGAGATCAAGTGCAGCCCTTTTCCTACTTGCAGGGTCACTTGATCAGTTTTTCCTGGTTGCCAAATTACCAAGATGAACATGGACACACCCAAACACCACTTGTGCCAATATATTTGGATTAGATGCTGTGGACCCTCAAAATAGGGCCCTAAATATAATTATTTGCAAATCACCTCACATTTGATTTTGTCTGTGTCTGCTTGTATCAGTTCTCCAGAGATGTCTGCCAGACTTCGTCACTCTGAACGGGACGGTGACTGTGGCTAACAGAACTAGGTTTCAAGATGTCCTGGAAATGCCACGCAGTGTTACCGAACTCCAACATGCTGCTAAGTACTGTAACTTCTTTTACATATTTTAAACATGTCTTTCTTTTGCTGTTTTGACTTGTCACTCAGAAGCACTAACATCCAACCCAACCCCTTGCAACTCTGCATATCATTGTCTTTAATATGGGACCAGTGTCTGTCTCCTCTTTCTGTCCTGGATCTTTTAATTCGTAGTTACATTTTCATCCTTTGTTGCATATTGACACACATTTCTGTGTCCTCTCTGCAGGAGTATAACGGGACTAGTGGACACCAAGGAGCTGGGCATGAGGATAGTTGAAGATTATGCCAAGTCATGGGCATGGATACTTGTGTAACTACACAAACACACACACAGAAAACAGCAATTGAGTACATTTAAATGTGGCTCAAAAATAATGACAGTTTTGTGAATACAAGCTAGTGTGTGGCTAGGACTAATATTTGAACAAGTCCAGTAACAGCAACACTTCTCATTACAACGTTTTCAAAAGGTTTCTAAGCAATAGTTTCGAAATTGCTGCTATCACTTACTTCTCACTTTGTGTCTGAATCACATCCAGAATAAACGTATCTGAATGACACTGGTTTGCAACTTTAAAAGAGGTTTCTGCTCACAAATTGAAATATGATAACTTTAATGGATTTTGAGGTGCTGAATAATTTTGTTCTTTTTTTCTCTGTACCTTGTAAAACATTGTGACAGAGGTCTGCTGATATCCTTGGCTGTTAGTTTGGTCTTCATCCTGCTGCTGAGGTTCACAGCTGGGCTGCTACTGTGGATCAACATCCTTGCTGTCATAATGCTGCTAGCATACGGTGTGTGCTCACGTAGTTTTACTACTGCATTATTTTGAAGGCAGGATATATGATATATAGTAATTTGTCTGGAAAGCTTAGGTCCTCTTCTACTGCTGTGAGGTACTGGAGGTGACTGCAGCTTCCATAAAGTCATCAAAGAAATGATCGAAGAAGTAGCACAAATGTTACTGAGACCTCCTTTTGTGTGTCTGTGTGTGTGTGTGTGTGCGTGTGAGCGTGCGCAGGTATGTGGTACTGTTCCAATGAGTTGTCCCTGCTCAGACGCAGACCAGGCTCTGATGTCACTATTGCACAAGTTGGACTGCAGACTGACCCACAGGTCTATCTACAGCTCAGACAGACATGGATCATATTATGTAAGTCAGTTTGTATTGGCAGATTTCACAGGGAATCAGTAGGTCATCCAAATGCTTTATTCCTGAATCATGTCTCATTTGTCATCTAACAACAGTGCAACAAGTCCAGACAACTTTTTTGTATATTGCGCACTAAGGGCTATATTTTCCTGTCAACACAATTTCTGCATCATTTCATTTCATTTGCAGTCATTATGTAATTTTCCTCCAGCATATGTCTCCTTTTTTGCGCATTGGTGTTTGGTATTTTCCTGCCATGGGTGAATGCACTTACACCAAGGTGGGAGGAGAGGCACAGTGGAGGCCGTGCATATGCTAATTAGGCAGCGCAGTGTAATTTTTGTGCTTGTTTTGACCCTAAATAAGAATAATGTTAATGTCTTATCACAATCACAGAAGTATTTGCAATTTTCCTGACAAGCACATAAGCTGGGAAGCACACGATTGGGTACCTACATGTATTTTGTCCACCCTGGACAGGTCACCACTCTATCACAGTGCTGACTGTAATTCACTCTGAATAATTTATTGTGTATCATGAAATTTAGAAATATTTAAATGATAAATGAACTAGTCCTCAGTATGTGGCTGTAGATATGAATATGGTCAAATAGTGTCAGTGCACGTCAGGACACACCGCCTGTCCTTACAGGATGCAGCCAGAGATTGTCTGTAGCCGCTGTTTGGGAATCCAAATCCATGTTAAAAATTACATATACTAACCATGAAAGCAGCTCATGGGCTGAGATAAATAACAAAACTAACATCTCCGTTAATCCTGTTACGCAGCAGGTGAAGTCAGTCTGACCTCTCTGTGGCTGTAAGTTACAGTTTCTTCAAATGAACAAGTTTCACACAGACATACCATCATTACAACAGTGAGGATATACATTGTGTCTGTTTTTGCATTTCATAATGGTTTGATCAGCTTTGAAAGCAGCTGTAGGTGGGGATAAAGTGGATGACACATCCACTGGCTGTGTGCGCTGGTGGATCACAATCAGTTTCACCACAAACACACTGAATGCCACTTTCAGCTTTTCCCGTGAGAGGTCACCACAGTGAATCGTCACACTGAGTGAGTATTTGGCACCTGTTTTACACCGGATGCCCTTCCTGACGCAACCCTGACTCGGACCCAGGCCTTCACCATAAACACAGCGATTACCATATTTTATTGTATTATTTTAAAAACAGTGAAACGTTTATAAAGTTTCATGTGTGTGGATTTCACACACTGGATGCAGCTGTGAGTAAATGACAGTACTTCTACATCAATAATTTTGTCACTGTCAGTCTAGGAATGCAATATATAACTGGCAGAAGAAGAACATACAAGGAAATAAAGTCTCCGCTCATATATTGCCACATCCTGACACCAGTCACATCAATTGGTCAGGTTTCCAACCTGCTCTGTAAAGGGGCTGAGAGCAGCTGGTTTGATTGGACAGAACTAAAGCCAGCACGACTGCACCTGCTTACCATGGATTCCTCCCTCTAACAATGTATTCCGTCTCTTGTCCCAGTAATTGGCTGCGTACAGCAGTGTGCTGTATCTGTGGTCACCAAGACTGCAAAACGTGGCTGACCATGTCCATATGCGCCTTACACCTGGTGTTTGGACACAAGTTTAGTGCTGCTCCTTGCTGCAGGAAAATATCCCACTAACTGTTTAAAAAGTGATTTTGTTTTGAACACTGGTTGTGATTTAATGATGATGCTCATCCACATTTTCATGTCCAATAACATACCAGATTATATTCATTTGTATATCAACCCATTGCCAAAAATCTCTGCTGCAGTCATTCAAACTAAGATAACATTTTGAGAGCAATCATAAATAACTGGACACAACTGAATTTCAAAACTGTCAAGTTGGGGGGAAGCAGAGAAAAAGCAATTAAAGAAAACAAATGAAACTATGTACCTGAAAATATAAAGAACATAAAATGTATGTTATTTGTGTTTGTCAGTGGTGTTTCTGGGAATGACAGAAGCTTCCATCTTGTTGATGTTGATCTTCCTAAGGAGAAGAGTTGGTGTGGCTATCGCCCTGCTTAGAGAGGCTAGCAAGTATGAGCTATGTAGACAGCAAAAAGAGCAGTCTGCAAAAAAAAAATCACAAAAACTATGTGTGAATGTCTTTCAAATTATTTGATTTTGGAAAGCACGCTGTATAACAATGATATTTCCCTGGTCTTATCGATTTTCTGTTGTTGCAGAGCCATCAGTCACATCATGTCCACACTATTTTTTCCAGTCATCACCTTTGTCTTGTTGACCTTTTGCATCTTCTACTGGGCAGTTACTGCCATGTATCCTTCAGAATGGTAACAAGCAGCAACGGGAAGAGGAATACATTGTACATTAACTTTGTGCAGCTCAGAGCTGAGTCATTTGAATAAGCCAGCTTTCTAATTAGCTTGTTAGATACATATGTCTTTAACCAGCACTGTGAAACCAGGTACCTAGCATCCTCAGGTGAAGCCATCTACAAAGTGATATCTCCTGATATGAACTGCCCCTATGCCAACAGTACTTGCAGCCCTGAGGTACAGTATATTTTCTTCAGTTCAATTTTTTTATCATTTTGTTTTTCCAAGCCATGACAAAGTCACAACAGCTAAATCTTCTGCAGACCTTTAGTAAATATGGACAAATTCATTTGGACTGTTCAGTGCCCAAAAATAACCTAAAACCACTACTAAACTCACTCCTAAATGAGTAGTAAAATTACAGAAGTGCAGCTAAAAATTGCCTGCAGCTGGATTTATTTACATCTTCAATCTACCGAATACCACAAAACTGAAAAATGCAGTAACGCAGAGTTGTCCTGATGGTAAACTGTGGTTCTAATACAACTATTATACAAAAATTTTGGCTATATGTACCATATCTGTGGAGTCACACACTGTAGCCTAGCTTCTGTAAAACCTTATCCTCTGATACCCAAAATATCTTTTTCTCAGAAGATGATTTATTAATTTGACCCAAATTACTGTGTCTGGCTCAGTCAGTAGTGTTATCTTGTGATACTGGTTCCTTGGAAGAAAGAATTACTGACAATACCACAAGAAGCAGCAGCAAACTAGCTGGGACAAACTAGGAATGCCTGCAGCACACTGTCATCTATAAAAGTGAGCTAGCATTACTTTATCTAGAGCTGTACTGTACATATGCTCGTAACCATTACTTTCATTTATCTACATTTTATGTTGCTGTACAATGTTTCAGGTGTTGTTAGAGGAAAGAGACAAGGACTTTTTTTGAAGCATACTCACACCATCAACAATGAATAATTAATATATTTGTTATTATCAATTAATGTGGCAGGATACAGTCCAGAAATATAAATAAACAAGGTGATGAGTAGTTAGAGAATTTGTTCATTTATATACACACTTAACAAAAATTAAAAATTTAATTCATTAAAAATGAATCATTTTCAGTTGCTCTACTATTTGTATTTGATATTTAGTAAAGGCTGTATGCAGAGAAAATTCTTACAGAAGACTAAAATTCTGATTTATGTTGGACTGAGTGTAAATGTACTTTTCTCAAACAACTCGAAAACAATTGTTTTTTAATGAATCATTTTTATTTTTTGTATTAACCATTATATTTTAAAATTTTTACTTGTGCACACTGTGCAAATGCATATATTTGTGCAACTCTTCACATTAACAAACCACACAACCTCAGTTTACACACTATACACTGTAAGTAACATATTAATACATGAGATTTTTATTGCCCGACCCTGCGTAGACATAATAAATAACTCTGCTGTTCTCCCCCCTCATGTCTCTGACAGACCTTCAACACAACCAATATCTCCAAATCAGCACTGTGTCTGGGATCTCAGTGTCTGTTCGCCTTCTATGGTGGGGAGACCTTCTACCACCGCTGCCTCTTCCTGCTACAGGTGTCCAACTTACTGGTGTTCATCTGGCTGCTCAACTTCAGCATGGCCCTGGAGCAGTGCACCCTAGCTGGCACATTTGCTAGCTACTACTGGGCCAAGAAGAAGCCTCAAGATATCCCACCGTGTCCACTCTTTTCATCATTCAGTAGGACTATCAGGTCAGGTCACACTCTGAAGGCTGGGATTCATCACTTTTCAAATTGGACACAAATACTGGCCTTTAATTAGTTGGTAATACATAATTGCCTGTAACGGCACACTGCATTCTTTCTCTGCGTCTCTCCAGGTATCACACAGGGTCTTTGGCATTGGGAGCTCTAATTCTTTCAGTTGTTCAACTTCTCCGGCTCATACTGGAATACCTGGAGCAGAAACTAAAGGGTTTACATACACATGCTAAGACACATATGCAATTTACACAATTTTCCTTACTCCTTTACTGCTACTATAATTGCTGCCACTATTTCTGTACTGACCTTGTGCATGTTTATCCATACAGGTTTTGACAGTGCCCTGTCCAGGTTCATCATGTGCTGTCTGAAATGTTGTTTCTGGTGTTTGGAGAAATGTATACGCTACATGAACCGTAATGCTTATATCATGGTGAGCTGGTTAAAATATTACTTTTTTCGTAATATGAACAGTATGTTGTATGAATACTAGCTCTCCACTTTTCATTCTGTCAAAAAACTTGTGTTGTTATGATAGCTGTGTTTTCTATCTTGACCACCAGGTGGCAGTCTATGGTAAGAACTTCT